GCCTTCAGCCTGCCCGTGCCCTGGGACCCCTCCCCTCAGGGGTCGGTCTCAGGCCAGGGGTGGAAGCAAGCACAGGGAGGATGGGGGAGAAGCTGACTGCCAGGCACCAGGCAGCCAGCTCGTGGTTGGCCAAGACCCAGTGCTACGAGAGCAGGGCGCTGGGCTGGAGCAGTGGGGCGCTGGGCACTAGCACAGGCATGCCCTCCCCAGAGATGCTGGGACAATTGCTCTCCCCGCCCCCAGGCTGCCTGTTCCCACCTCACCTGCCAGCGAGACATCCGGCTTCCCTGGACAACATCCTCCTGCCACAGACAGGGAAGTAGCCGGTGACTCCCCACACTCTCCCCTGGGCACCGGGGGCAGCGTGTGGCTGGCTCCTTCCCAGGAGGGACTGGCCTGAAAGGACAGGACACACTCCTGCGCGCTGCAGCCCTGCCCCAGATGGGCAAGCCCTGGTGGCCAGGGGCCAGGGCTGAGGCAAGGGGCTGGCTGCCACCTAGGCAGCTCCCTGCTCGCACCATGAGGACACTGCGCCAAGCCCTGCAGGGCCCGGGCTTCCAGCAGCATGCGTGGAGTCCAGGGATGGCTCCATGGCCAGGACCCCATCTGCTGGCCCCTGGCTGGCCGGCCACGCACCCGGGGAGAGCTCCAGCAGGCCGGCTGCACTCCCGCGCCTGCCCCAGGCCCCTGTGTGGGGTGAGGGGCTGGGGCCCAGCTGGGAGCATCTGTGGGGTGGGGGATAATGACACTGGGGGGCCAAGCTGCTTCCCACCCTTGCGCCCAGGGGCCCCCACCCAGGCCCCCTTCCCACCCGTGGCCATTCCCAGTGCTGAGCAGGCAGCACCGGTCAGATCACATGGCACCTCCTTTGCCCTGCAGGTGCTGCTCCCTGCCATGCTGGCACCTGGCTCCTCCCATGCACAAAGCCACTCCCCCACGCGGCTGCTGGAGCCCAGGAAGCCCCTGCCCTAGGGCTGGAGGCAGCAGCAGCTGTGGGGGAGCAGCAGCCCCAGGGAGCTGGGGGCTCCTCTTGACCAGGGGTGAGGGAGGGGGGCAGCACTGGGGTCCCCATTTGGTCCTGCACTAGCCCCAGGGTGGAGAAGAGGCAGCACAGGGGCTGGAGCCAGTAACTCTGCTCCCTCCGGGGTTTCTGCAGAGCCCACCCAGGAGCTGTTGGCCTCAGAGCCCCACACTAGCCCTGAGGGATGCACAGAGCCCAGGCTGGGCCAGGCCCCGCCGCAGGGAGGGAGCCAAGCACTGCAGTGCTGAGCCTGGGCAGCCTATTGTTTGGAGGAGAGCAGGGCCTCCCCTGGCCCCAGACAAGGGCACTGTCCTCTGGGCTCCCTGGAGCAGGAGCAGGGCAACCTGCAGACCCCAGGGACACTGTGGGGGTGCAGGTAGGGGCAGGGCTCCTGTACCCTTCCCCAAGGCTGGGGCAGTTTGCACCCTGCAGGCCGAGCTTCTCCAGGTGCTGCCCCAGGGAGCGGGACACAGCTGCTCTCTGCTCAGCCCCTGGGTGCAGCTGGCTGAGGTCTGTGCAGCTCTGGGCACAGAGCAGGCATTTCCCAGCCCTCCTACCTGCTGGCTGGGCACTGCCCCAGTAGGGCCAGGCCCAGGGTCAAACCACAGTCTACAGCCAGGCCGGAGTCATTTGAGGACCCAGGCTGGGTGCAGCCTCACCTCCACCTAATGAGGAGCTGCCTAACAACCTGCACCTGCCTCCCCACTCGGCCCAGCACCAAGGAGCGCCACTGTGTGCTTGCTTGGAGGCTGCCAGCTGGTAGGCAGCGCCCGGCCCTTCCGGCGGGGGACTCATGGCACCGTGCCCTGTTTATAGCTGTCATGGGTGTGGACACGGCGATTGCACGACGGCTTCCCCCCAGGCCTTCCGCGCGGGTGCGGGGGTGAAGCGGTCCTTTCTATCCAGACGTGCCCACCCAGGAGCAGGCCAGCCAGCACTGGCTTGAGCACCTTGTCCTTGCTGAGTCCCGCATGCCCCTGCCCGCTGCACGGGCCCCTTCCTGGGGAGCCAGGACACACCTGCCCCAAGAACCCGGCCCAGGGGCCTGGCACCCAAACCGGCCCTCGGGCTCGTGATGCTGGAGGGCTCCCCCCAGAGCCTAGTGACCCCTGCCTGGGATGGGCCAGAGCTAAAGCCACAGCTGCAGTCTTCTGCCCAGCAGAGCCCCTGCCCGTGAGGCCCAGGCCCCCTCCAGTCCCAGCAGGACTGGGAATGAGGTGCTTCCTGGAGTCGTGGGGAGAGGAGCCAGGCTGAGCTGAGGCCCCCTGGTCACTGCAGGGGGAAGCTGCCCACATTTCTGTCCCTGCAGCAGGGCTCAGCCTCGTGGGACCCGGCACCCACCCGTGCTCCAGCCTGCTCCCCACACCCCAGCTCAGTCCCACCCACCCCACCCGCTGGCAAGGGCTGGCCTCAGATGTCAGCCAGAGGCCAAGCGGGGAAGGGCAGGGCCACAGCCACGCCACTCCCAGGCACGGACAGCAGCAGGTGTTTTGCAACAACCAGCCGTGGCAGGAAGGACACTGCTCCTTCCAGCACTCAGTAACTGCACGCAGCTCCCCAGGATAGGCTGACGCCTTGTTGGCCCAGCACCGGGCGCCCAGAGCCCGTAAACCCTTGCAGCTGTTTGTTCAGAGGGAGCAGCTCACTCCCTGAGTCACGGTCCTGGCTGCGCAGAACGTGGCCCGAGGAGGGCCTCTCTATCTGATGGGCACGGGCCCAAGACCGGCGCTCCAGGCAGCACCCGTGGGCGAGGCAGCACTCCTGGCTAGGGAATACATCAGAGTCGAGGCTAGCGGCTCCTGCTCAGGGCCCAGCGCCTGGCTCCCACGCCCCAGCACCTCCACACACCGCCCCGGAGCCAGGAGCAGCAGGCCTAGCCCGTGGAGCGGGTGGGTGCTGGGTCCCAGCAGGCTGTGCCCTGCCTGAACCTGGCAGCCGCCCCCAGCCTGGGCTTGGCATCTCCCGTTGCTGTGCCAGGCCTCAGCCTCCTGCTCCGCGAGACAGGTCTGCGGTGCCTGCAGTCCAGCTTGGGGCCCGCAGCCCCCTCCCCACTTTACCTCCTTCAGGATCAACCTCCTCCAGAAAGTATCCACCTGGGCTGTGGCCCCAAGGGGGGTCCTGTGGCGGGCAAGGAGGTGGGACGCAGGGGCCTCCAAAGCCAGTATGTCCAGCACCAGCCTTCACAGCCGCCCCCTGTCCGAGGAACCCCCCAGCCCACGCACAGGTGGTGAGTACAAGGCCAGCACCACTAGATGCACCTGCCATGTACCACCGTGGCTTACTGCACTGCCTATGCTTGCCATGCTGCCACGGCCCGCCACAGAGCCTGCACCCACCACGGTGCCTGCACCTACCTGCTGCCACAGCCTGCCACGGACCCTACACCAGCCACTGTGCTGCTCCTGCCTGCTGCCACCGCCCGCCGTGGTGCTGCCTATCCCACTGCCACCACCCACCACACTGCCTGCACCCGTCTGCCACCCACACTGGAGCTGCTGTCCCAAGTGCAGGATGCAGTGGGTTGTCCTGGCCTGTGCTGATGCGTGTCGGGCCACTATGTCCTAGAGAGAGGGACGTTGCTTCTGGGGCCAGGGCTCCTTGTTCATCCCCCTGCAGCAGAGAGGGGTGAGAGCCTCCCTGCAGGGCCGTGTGATGCCAGAGCCACTGCAGTAGGCTGGGGGTGTGGAGGGCATGGATCCCAGGCAGCCCTGCATGGCTGGCATGGAAGGGGCTCCCTCAGCCCCTTGGGGCCTTGTGCTCTGAGCCCACCCAGCTGTAGGCGCTTTCGGTGCAGCAGGACAACCATGCTGTGCTGCAGGGGGTTTGGCTGCGCTGGGAGCGGCGGCCAGATCCCCTCTTGCCTCTGGGGCGGGGGGCGGTGGGCAGACCTCCTTGCTCCCTGGGGGCTTCAGTCCTGCAGGGCTGCCCCTGCCCCCCAGCACAGCCTCCTACCTCCATCCTCATCCTCAGCCACTGGGAACTGTCAGTCCAATGCTGCTGGGCTGGAGCTGGTGCAGCAGCAGCTGCCTTGGACAAACCCTGGACCCTCCGGCACTAGCCCTGGGGCAGAACCGGCCACAAAGGGGCCTCACTCGCCCTTGCCCCCTGCCTCTATCACCTGTTTTCTTCAGGTGTTACCTCTCCTGGGAGCGGGACTGTGGGGCAGGGCACGTCTGTGACCAGGAGGGTCAAACCCAGCCCCAAGGACTTGGCACTTGTCCCGCGAGGGTCACTTCGCTGACTGGGGAGCAATAGTGCCTGAGCCCTGGGTGCAAGAGGGACCAAAGGGAGCGTGTGCCAGAGCCCGGGCAGCCATGCCACTGAAAGCAGTGTGGCAATGGCAGGCCAAGGGGCACGTGCTGCAGGCAGCCCTGTGCTGCAGCCCTGGGTGCTGATGGGGAGGAAGTGTGCAAGGGACCCCTATGGGAACACCCCTCACCCCCAGCCCAGCCAGAAGGGGTGGCTTTCAAAGACTAAGTCTGGCAGAGACTGTGCTGACCCTCCTAGCTGCGCCATGGTGGGCTGGGCATGCTGCAGGATGCAGGCGCCCACTGAGGAGAGGCCATGCGCCCGGCTCTTAATGCCACCTGGGGGAGGCAGGGTAGGGCAGGGCTACAAGCCCCAAGGCACAGGGATTCAGGGGACCTGACCAGTGCCACTCCATGATGGATGGAGCCCAGGGATCCTGGGCCTGTGGTCTTGCACAGTGGTAGACACAGGAGTGTGCAGGGCACATGTGAGTGCAGGTGTGAGCTGGAGCTCATCAGGCATGAGGGGAGTGTCGAGCAAGGGGCATGGGGTGGGGGTGGCGGTGGGGGGGCAGGAGGGCCAGTCATGCCTGGAACTGCCTACAGGGGGGGGCTGTAGGAGACCAGCCCGTGCCCCGCAGGGACACAGCCAGCGGGGCAAACGTGGCCCCAGGGAGAAGTCTCAGCACATGGTCCATGGCCCACGGCACCCAGCACACGGCACAGCTTGTCAGAACCTTTATTCGTACAAAAAGTCACAATAACTTATATCATTTGCAGCTCAAAAGGCACAGCGGAAGGTGCTCAGGTGAGGATGGTGCTGAAGAAGACAAGACCGGCGGCTGCAGAGGGCAGCGTCAGGCATAGATGGAGAAGGGGCTGTCGCCCGACTGTCCAGCCCTGCCCTGGCCCGAGGGAGGGGCTGAGCACTGGGGTCTGGCACGGGCCTGTTGGGCAGAGTCCAGCTCAAGACTGAGCGGAGCTGTGAGGGGCAGGGAGCGGGAAGCTGTTGCCATGCATGGAGCCCAACCTGGAGGAGCAGAGCAGCAGGTGATGCCTCCCCGTCCGAGGGAGGGGTGGGGGGCTGAGTGGCACGAGCCTGCACATGGGCTCCAGGAGGGCAGTGCCCTGGGAGGGGCGGAGGGACTGCAGGCACAGCACCAAGTGCTTGCTGCCTGTGATGCTGAGGACGTCAGGGCAGCGGCCGGACAGGAGCCTGCTCCAGGCAAGGGGTGGCGGGGTGCTGGTGCTGCATGGGGCACGGCTGGATGGAGGCAGGGGCAAGTTGTGCTCGGCTATTTGTCGCACTCCAGGTCCTGGGCCACCTCGCTGCCCTGGTAGTGCTGCTCGCAGAACTCCTGAATGCGGGCGCAGGCCTCCATCATCATCTCCTCGGGTGCCGTGATCACCACGCGGAAGAAGCCGGGGTACTCGAAGCACTGCAAGGGGGGAGGGGGGGGGAGCCACCGGTTGCCCAGGCAGGAGGGCCCAGACCCTGCAACTCTCACCACGGGGCAGTGGGTGGGCAGCTGGGACCAGCGCGGGCCGGTGCCAGAGAAGCTGGGCTCTGCCCCCAGCACCGTTCTCCATGGAGTCACCCTTGCGGGCTCCCACAGCCCCCCGGCTTCCCGTGCTGGGGTGGGTCGAGAGGCACTGACCGTGGCCGGCAGGCAGAACACCGACTGCTCTGCGATCAGCTGCTCCGTGAACTCCATGTCGTTCTCGAACTCGGGGAAATGCTCCATTTCGATCCCCACCTGCAGCACAGGGTGATCGTGGCAGGGCCGGGCTGGGCAGGACTGCGACCAGAGCTCGTGGAGCTCCCCTCCCCGTGCCCACCCGAGGCCCCTGCTCCCCGCAGACCCTCTGCCACCCCCGATAACTGCCCCCTCACACCCTGTCACACTGTGGCAAGGCACAAGCCCAGGGCCACCAGGAAACCTGACCATCCCGCACTGCCGATAAGAGCGAGGGAGACCTGGGCACTGACTGGCAACAAGCGGGAAGGACTGGACCCATGCACTTACCATGAGGTACATGGCCCCCGCAGGCCGGATGGGCCGCAGGCCGGGCACGGCGCACAGGGCGGTGTAGCACAGGTCGGCGTTGGCCTGCGAGGTGGAGGGTAGAGCTCAGCATGCGGGAGAGTTTCCAGGAGGCAGCTCAGCACCTGCTGCCAAGCTCCAAGCCGGCCCCACTGGGCTCCCCCAGCGCAAACACAGGCATGGCGAGCGCAAACAGACGGTGACCGCGGCCTTGAGCTTCGCTCGGCCCCTTGGCCGTGCCTGGCCGGTCAGTGCCCAGTGCACCCCTTTGCCTCCCACCCGGTAGGCAGTGCTGCAACGGGGCTGCCTGAGCGTGATGGCTGCCCACAGCACCCCTGGGGAGGGATGCTCCTGCCCCCCCGCTCTAGTGCCCCCACCGCACCGCACCCCCTGGCCAATGTCCTGCCCCGCCTGCTCAAGCACCCCCGGGGGACAGGGCACAGGGTGGGTAACCCCAAGGCAGACAGCAGTGGGGGCTCAGTTCCCCACCCTGCACACCTTGAGGAAGCTGAGCGTGTTGTGGTAGAACTCGGCCGGCGTGTGCCGCATGATGTGCTCCAGCGCACCCTGGATGAGCGTGCAGGGCCCCAGGATGCGCTGGCTCAGCCGCAGGAGCCCGTCCCTGATCTGCAACACATGGCGACACCGAGCTCAGTGGGGGAAGGCTCCAGCCTGACAGCGCAGCTCCGTGCTGTTCGGGAAGGCCTGGTCCCACAGCCCCTGGCAAGCCTGGGGGGAGCTTGGAGCCTGGCCCTGACCCAGGCTTGCAGTGCCAGGGGCACAGGCTGCCACAAGGCTCTGGTGCCTGGAGGCAGAGCCGAGCCCGGGAACAGCAGCCCCTCTGCTCCCTGCACAGCGCTGGCAGAGACCTCTGCTACGGCCTTGAGGCTGCTCTGCTGGCGCGCAGCCACCCCAGGCTCCGGACCCCCCCCCCCCGCCACCGCCTCCTCAGGGCCCCCCCCCCCCGTGACATCCTGCATGCGTATTCGGCCTGTCTGGTCCCCCAGGGCAGCCCACCTTCCTCCCCCTCCCCTGCCCCGCTCAATCCCTTCACTTAAGCTCGGTCCCTTTACTTAAGCAGCAGCCGGAAACTGCCTCAGTGCCAAATAGAGATGGGTGGGCTATTAACCCCTCAAGGGCATCCCCCGCTCTGAGTCCTGGGGGCACGCCAGGCACCCCAGACATGTGAAAAGCCCTGCACCAGGCAGGCACTGCTGTGAACTCGGTGCCAGTGACCCGCTCTGGGCACCACGTGTCCCACTGATAAGGAGAGGTCGGGGCAGAGCACACTGCTGTGGGTACACAGGACTGTTCCCACCCCGTAAACAGGGTCAGCAGGGGAGAGGGAGGCGGGGGTGCAGCGGAGTTTGGGGCAGCAAGACGATGCATGTGGGAGCGACTGCATGCACCCAGGGCAGCCTGCAGGAGCACGAGGGGGCGATGGCGCAGATGTGCGCTCAGGGCTCAAGGTACTACAGCATGAAGGAGCAGGGCTGAGTGCAAGGAGGAGCCACGCGTGTGCCAGGGAGCACATGAGTGTGAGGCAGGGTGCAGGCGTGTGCATGAGAGCTGAGTGGGCACACCAGGGTGGAAAGGCACAGGGTCAGGGGAAGGGGTGGGAGACGTGCAGGCCAGGGACAGCACTGGAGCCTCACCTCGTTCCCAAAGATGTCTCTCCGGTCGTGGACAAGGATCCAGCCCATCCTCCAGCCAGGCACCAGCCAGCGCTTGGCCAGGCCCCCACAGGACAGGATGGGCACATTGGTGCTGAGCACCGCGATGGGCTCATACTTCCAGTCCGCAAACACCTGGAGCAGGAGGATACGTCAGGGGCAGGCCATGGAGGAGGCAGAGCCGCAGCACCAGGGGCAGGGGCAGGCCCCGTGCTCAGGACCTCTCACAACTACACTTTTAGGCACAAGGCTTTGCAGCACTGCAGTGTACAGGGCCGGGCGCGAGGCACAACCAGCTCTTCCCGGACACTCCAGGCATGGGACAGGGCAGCTGCCCCAGGAAGGGGGCTCGAGTATGGCCTGGCTCTGCCAGGGTCACCGCTCCCAGCCAGCACCACCGCAGCCCCTGGCCCAGGCACTCACCATGTCACCGTAGATCTCATCGGCCAGGATGGGGATGCACTGCCTTGAGGCCACTGTGGAGGGAGAGACAGGTTTATGGAGCTGCCCAGGGACTCTCGCTGCCCTGGGCCAAGCATGGGCCCAGCCGTGTGAGGCACAGTGGGTCCCCTCCTCCTGGCCTGGCATGCCGGAGCCCAAGCGAGAGCCTCAGTGCCAGACCCAGCTGCCCTGGCATCCTGCCGGGTCGGGGGCAGATCTCTTGGGTGCAGCTGTGCAGCCTCAGGCAGTCACACGCTGAGGCCCTCCCTCGCTCAGCCTGGGGGAGGGCTGGGACCCAGCCAGCTCCACCTCACGCTCACCTGCCAGGATCTTCTGGAGGTGGCTCTTGCTGAAGACGGATCCGCAGGGGTTGGACGGGTTGTTCACGATGAGGCAGGCAGTCTTCTCGTCCACCAGCGACTCCAAGTGCTTCAGGTCGATCTCCCAGGACTTCTCAGGCTGGCAGCAAGAGGGGGCAAGGCTGAGGCAGTGGAGCGAGGACACAGCCAGGGCTGGGTGCCAGCCTCGGGTGCAGCACAGGGGCTGGGCACAGACCGGGCATGGCACCCGATCCTAGTGGAAGGGCACTGGCCAGCTAGGCCCAAGCTGTGGGGACAGGGGGGCCAGGCACAGGCAGAGCCCATGTGGGCATCTCCGTGCTTTGTGCCTGATGAGGGCAAGAGCCCCAGGGAACTCTGCTGCCACGGAAAGCTCATGCTGGACTGAGGAGCTCTGCACCAGCACCTCCGGCCTTCTGTAAAAGGACACGAAACTGCTGGGAGGAAGCCCCTGGAGAATGTGCGCGCATGCATGTACACATCAGCATGCACACGCGTGTGCCTGACGGGGGCATGAGCTGGGGCCTGGGGCTGCATGCTCTGCTCCTGCCCTCCCTTGCTCACCAGGAGGTTGTAGAACTTGACCTCAATGCCCAGGGAGAGCGCCAGCGTCTTGTAGAGGGAGAAGCCGGGCCGGGGCACCAGGATGTTCTGGCCTGGGTTGGCCAGCACTGCCAAGGCGAGCTCGATGGCCTGGCTGCAGCCACTGGTCAGGATGACGTCCTGCATACAGCACAGCAAGCGGCTGTGAGCACCGGAGCAGCCCCACATGCCGCTACGAGCTGTCCCGGCCCCATGCCCGCAGCAGAACCAGGGCGATACGTTATTGTGGACAAAAGGCCCGTGAACAGCCAGAGTGTCCACAGAGGTGCAACTACCGGCTGCTGGGGGCTGGTGCCCAGCCCTGTCAGCTGGGGTGGGGGGGTGGTGAGGGGCCCCCAGGCTCTTTGCAACGATTAGGTCCAGGTTTCCTGTCCCCACCCACCCCAGCTGCGGCTGTGGCTGTGGCTCCCTGTAGCCCATCCTCCGGGAGCCCCCCACCCGCCGCCTGCCTCACCTGGGCTTTCAGAGGTGCTTCTGGGCAGCTGTAGGAGGCAGCAATGACCTCCCGGCACGACTGGTACCCTGGGGAGAGAGGGACAGCTGTGGAGGGAATGGGCTCAGACCCTGGCTGAGGCACAGGTTGCAATGGGCACATGGCAGAGGAGAGCTGCAGGGACCCAGCGGGAGTCACCGGTCCCCCAGGCCCGGAGCTGGGAAGGGCCAAGAACCAGTCCTGCATAGACCGACCCCACGCTGGGGGACACGTCCCACCCCAAGCCCTGCCCAGGGGCTGGCAGCCCAAGCACTGTGCCGCGGGATAGGGTGCAGTCTGTCTAGGTCACACTACGGGTCTGGGGGCTGGAGCCGGTTGGCTGTGGCCCTGCT